ACTAGAGCTCACAAAACTTAACTTAGATACATGATACACATACAAAGTTCATTTGCCCAGAATTGCTTGGAAATTACATGGTCCAACCTACTTGACCATGTTTTGTGTTTTTGTGGAAAGGCTCATCAATTCTTCTAGATAGGCAGGTATATTTTTCTGAACGTACAGAAGTGCTAGTCCTGTTAGGCGATCTTCTTCTCCTATGAGCCCCTTCCCACTTCAGTTGGCCCACTTCAAGATTTGTACCAAAATATGCCTTTATGACGAAACTATTTACTTCTAAAATGATTTATTTCCTCAAAAACATTTTAGATACACTCTAGTCGTGAAAAATATATATTTGAAATCACTGAGACCTCTAACTAATAGAACATCTGAACAAATAAACAATGTGCGAATAAATGCGCGAAGTTAATAAAGCAACAATTGAAAGATTACCATTGGGTAACACCACCTTTATTTTTTATTACGGCTGAAATTGTTTGGGGCATCGTGTTAACCAAGTTTTGGCAAAAATTTCGTGTAAAACAATCCCATATTTCTTGAAGCTTTTGTCTCGGTGTTCGGTGATTGTACGAGCAGGATGAACCTTTTTCATCTTGTGCCACAAAGCTTCAACAGGTGACAGATCTGGACTGCTAGAAACCCATTTCAAAAGTGTTACATTATTTTCTTCCATCCATTTTATAGCCTTTTTTGAGGTATGGCACGCTGCAGCATCTTGCTGAAACACAAAATCTTGGCCGTATGTCAAACATTCTTCCATCACTAGTAAAAGCGATTCTCCTAAAATTGCCAAATATTTGTTTGTATCCACATTTCCATCAATAAAATGAAGTTTTCCTACTCCTTTTGATGACATACTGCCCCAGCCCATAATGGATGCCGGAAATTTCACTTTTCTCTTCAGACAGTCAACATGGAATGCTTCAATTTTTTTGCGACTGTCACCAACACAAACTTCGAATCGGGCCTCAGAACTCCATTTTATTGCACACCATTGTTGAGGTGTCCATTGTCTATGTTTTTAGCCCATCTAAGCCGATTTTTCTTTTGCAGTAGAGTTAATAGTGGCTTTTCTTTGGCCTATAAACAAGTTGTACAACTTTAGGGTTTTTACTTCACTTTTTTTATAAGAAAACTTACCTTGCAAGTGCTAAGTCCCATTTTGTGGGCCTCTCTATGAGTTGTGGACCTCGAAATTCTCCTTCCAACAGCGTCACTCTACAGAGCACTTTATTGTAAATAATTGGCACGCCTGTTTTTCACGATCATTCTTCTTAATGCTCTTCGGTCGGCATTCGTGATATTACTTTTTTTTCACATATCGTGGCTTAATATTAACTGTACCAGTTACGTTATATCTTCTAACAATATTTCTCACACTGTGATTAATAAAAATAATTGTCATGGCTTTTATTTTTCACAGCCACCTCTGCGTTATAGACTTATTTTGCATTGAAATGAAAATAGGTTGATATGCTGTAATTGCAACATGTGTTATTTTTATGCTGCAAATTTGATTAGGGAGTAATAAAGTTGGTGTTTTCTACTATATATTATCAAAATATTCATTGTTAATATTTTAAACCTTTAACACCCTGCTACATTTGTATTATTTGTGTTTGATAAGAATAAAACTAAGATTTCAGTAGTTGGGCCAACTGAAGTGAGAAGAGGCTCGTATATACTCTCAGCTATGTTTTGAGTCTCCTGAAAATAGAGAACATCTCTAATCTCCCTGCACTAACTGATAGTGTAGCAACTATCTCCCCTGGATCCGCCCTTGGATAGAGCCATCTACAGTATATTCAGATAAGAGATAGACCGGACATAAACAAGACCACGTGATCATCGAACGCTGTAACATTCGGCAGGGACGTATTAAGAGTCACGCAGTACATATTTTAGATAGTAGATGCTGCTTTGCGTAACTTTGTAGTAAATTAGCACAATTCGATGTGTATACGATTGGTGATGGATATAGGATCATGTGGGGTGGGGTAAGAAATATATAATGATGTAAATATACATAAGGGTTTCAAAATTTTCGCTTCGATTTCCAGCTTCGGATGCCGTCTGATGTTTGGTGAAATACAGTCGAATATAATCTCAAAATGGCGTTTAAATTAGCCTAAATTAAAAATAATCGTATATCTCTTAAAATTGCTTTTAGAATATTGATTAGTATATTTTTTGATTTCTAGGTAAATATGTAACCAAATTAAAACGTTCAAAACGTAAAAAAATGTGCATGGTTGAACATTGTCAGAAAGTAGATTCTTGGATAGGTTTTGCCAAAATAGGTTCAAAAATGTCAATAATTAATTAAAAAATACAGTAGCTTTATAATTACTTATAACTTACCGAATTTGATGAACGACATCTTTTATTGGAAAGATGAGCTTGATGAGCTTTCATCATCGCTACTGCCTGAAGCACCAATGCCAATAATGAATGGCTCGACTTGTTCCTCTAAAATATTGTCCAGTTCCCACATTCTCTTTTCAACTTTGTCTTTCACGTGCTTAATACAGTTTTCCCATTTTTGCGCTGTTATCAATTCTAGTGCTTCTTTGAAAAGTCCTTTGAGGTCACAAAATTTAAAAGTTGTATTGTGCTTAGCTATATAATTTTTAACCTCTGCCCATATGAGCTCAATGGGATTGAGCTCGCAATGGTATGGAGGTAAACGGAGCACAGTTTTATTTTGACTTGCTGCCATTTCGTCAATGGCGAATTTTTGATATTCCGCCTTGTGATCCTTGACAATTCTTAATAATTGTACTTTCAGCATTGCTTCTTCAAAGTTGATATTTTTCGAGTGGAGCCAATTTTGAACATCAACTTCCCTTGAAGCCGTTGTTGGGACCTTCTCCATTCTTCGAGAATGATAAGGCGCATTATCCAACACAATTACTGCGTTTTCCTCTAAGTTCGGTAAAATTTTTGAAAACCACTGTTCAAACGATTCGCCATTCATTTCCTCGTGGTAATCTCCAGTTTTCTTAGACTCAAAGCACCACAGACCGTCAACAACAAATCCATCCTCACTGCCAATATGGCAGATAATGAGCCTTTTCCCTTTACCTGGAAATCGAAGTACTAACTGGTGTAGATTTATTTAAATAAGCGAACCTTTTTCAAATGTTTTCATCACCTTCAGCGAAAAAACATTGAGACATGAGTATCAGATTGCTATAATTGGGATTATTTAGTCATATTGAACGTCGTAAGATTACTCAGCGCTTCACTATTTAATTTAAATTTATAAACCTTTAAAAAATGAATGATCAGGAACCTGAAATACGCGCAAATATTAATATTAACAAATTATAACTTTATAAAGCTTAAAGTATGAATTAAAATGATTAGAAATATTAGGAACGGTACACAATATAAAACTTAGTAACTTTTTTATAGTTTATAATATTCGACATATTTTAAGATTATATTAAAAAATTATTGAAATATCGAAAATACATAAAAACATGGCTTAAAAAAGTTCTAACAAATGAAAATGACAATAAAACATCCACGCATTTTATCGAAAGTTATAAAAGTTTTGTTACTTGTAATATGTTTTATCTGCCCCCTGGAATTAATGTTTAGAACCTTGTTCCCAAGGTTTGAAAAACATCCGATTGTTGTCTATTACTCGTATTTACCTGCTGGATTTTTTAATCCGGTGGACAGTCCATCTAGAAAGGCCCTCCTGGATGAAGTTACAGAATCATCAACCCATACTTTACTTGTAGTGTGTCCTGCGTTTACCCACGTTTCATCAAGGTAATAAATCTTACTGTTTTGATTTCTATATTTCCCAATTTTTGTTAAATAATCCCTCCTCCATAGCACAATTTCTTCTCATCCAGTAGTAAACTATTACGACCCCGTTTTTTCCATTTGAAATTTAAATGCTTCAGTAACGCATGGAAAGTTGATCGTTTGAAATTTGGCAACGTTGTATCTCCATTTACCTCCTGCAGTACTTTATCTATAGTAGGTATTTCATTCCTAAAGAAGAATTCATGCACTTTCCTCCTAATCGCATGCTGATAACTTCATCCAATGATTTAACAATACTTTTGCGATGTTTACTGGTCATTGGCTCAGAAAAGGTGTGATTTTTTTTGTATTGTCTTAACACATTAAACACTGATGCGCGACACACCCCAACTTTGTGAGAAACCTTCACAACAATTTATTTGATGGTTGATGCCTCGTTCTCCTCGCGCTCGATCTTATATATATTCAAAATGACCTCTTTCATTTCTGCACTCAGGTGTCTTTTTTTAGAGCGTTTCCTAGGTGGACTACAGGAGTTTACAACTTCATCGGCAGTATCTGTACTACTGGGCATTTTGCGCAAGCAGTTGATAACAATAACAATCAATAACAAGGTATAACAATAACAACGACAAACTCAACAACTTAATAAGATAACAAACGAAAACGTCCAAAGAAATATCAAATTGCAATGATGCACACGACATACGTAACACGTCTGAACCTGAATGTGACTCTGCCTTAATACGACTGCTCTGCCGCTCGGCATAGGCATTTAATTGCGAATTGACCAATGAGGGCTCCTGTTTTACGTCGAGACGGCGGCGTTAGCGTGAAAATCACCCGAACCTTTTGTTTACATCCGGTCTATCTCTTATCTGAATATACTGTAGCTTCCACTAACCTCAGGAAGCACAAAGATCAGTTAATCAACAGTGCCTCTAGCTTCTCTATAGCGGTTGTCGTACCTCAACTGCCACAAAACCTATGTCGTATATCGTATAAAATAAATTTAAGCTACTTAGTCGACAACAAGTAGGTGCTTTTTAACAGTTGTATGGATATCAGGTAATAAACGGCCTTTTAGCTGCACGATAACACTATACCGCGTTGAAGCTATTTTCCGCAGTGCAAGTCGCAGCGGCCACCATATGCGCCGGATCCAAATCCACTTGACATATTTTCCGTATCGCTTTCGCAACACACGCAATAATTGAGTCAATAGAAACAATCAACACAAACAGAAAAGTGTTGTAGATCGATATATTCCAGATGTGGCTGTTGAAGTGCGATCATTATGTTTTTGGTTAAAGGTGTGAGTGTAAAGAAAAAGATACGCCAAGTAGCTCGGAATATTTGACAGGCAAGAGTGTACAGAAAATGCTGTTAAGGTAATACTATTCTACCCTTTAAGTTTGTTTTATAGCGTGTTTCCAAAATATGGTGCAAACATCCAAGTGGTGATTAGTTTTTCTAAGCTAAAGGTTGTTTTTTCCTTTAGCCATTTTCTGTCACTGGCAATAGGCCCTCTCTACAAAGTACAACGAAATGTTGACAGCACAGTAACTACAATTAGTAGTTTTGGTAGCTAGTTGAAGACGCACGGTTGTTCCCCAGGGACGTACTAGCCCTGCTGAGTTACGAGGCTTAAAGGTCATATTTTCAACAAGAGTATTCCTTCTTCTGAAAAAAAAAGTATTTTTTGAGTGAATTCAATGAAATGAACCGTTTTTGGCTGAAAGAATAATGCTTGATGGAGTATCTGAAAATTTTTGTCCCGTTTTTTTGTATCGTTGTATGTTAAATGCTTTTATGACTCCTTCGAATCAAAGATATACTATTTTCACCTGGGTACGATCTGTTGATGCTACCGACATATTTACGCTTCAAAGAAGGTGCATCAGGATTATAGCTGATTTAAATTACCAGGATCCCTGTAATTAAAAATTAATAATTCGCCTTGACTTTATATACTTGGGTGCCTACTGCATATAACAAAAAAAAGGCCTTATGTGCACTTCCCATGTAACGCCATTATCAGTTCATAAAGGATTATGTTCAGGCCCTTTGATCAAAAAGTCAGTCAAACAGGTCCATAAAATTAGTCCATGGTCATTCCTACCGTATCTGAAAACGTTGCCTCTCCCCGGTCAGATGTGGCAACGCGGTCAGAGAATAGCAAACAGTATGGCCGTGGCAGAAATACGTGTATACCGTACTAGAACACTCATAAAGGCTGGCGGCAGTCACCGCCGGTAGGTACGCGATCCGTCTGCTGAGAACATTTTTAGTTTTAAGGGCTATGTTAGAATAGTAGAATTACCAAGGTTGGGAGCGAATAAATATACTATACTAATTTTCCAAAACCACTAAGTTTTTGACAAGTAATAACATTGTGTAAAAGTTTGATCGAAGTTATAGCCGGTTATAAGATTATTGGACACACCGACAGATCGACAGACATACAGACCGACAGACTGATAGACAGACGGAAATGAGTGACTTGGTTTTTGATGATGTACATCTAAAAATCATAACTGTACTTCCCTTCCAGTAGGCGTAGGAAGTAAAAATGAAGATCTATTTGTGAAAAAATCCAGCGTGCATACGCACATTACAAGAAGCAAGGAAAGCTACTAATTAAAGAAACTTAGAGTCGTCCAAATCCAAAAACAGGTCAAACTACTACTGCATCGAGTTTTACAGTGCCCTACCAATAACATTAGAAATGATAATATATTTACTTGTTAAATTTTTGTCTTTTGAGGATATATCCAGAACTAATTTTCGGATTGATATTTCAACATATATGATTAACTAATTTATGGTCAATTGTTTCTATTGTGTTTATAAAACTGTGAAAAATAGCATAATGTCTATATTGTTTGATATGCCGGTCCAACAGTTTTCTTTTAGTTATAATGTACCTTAAGCTCTGATGGTTTTGTGTATATCCACGTATGTATGAGCCCCTTCCCACTTCAGTTGGCCCAACTATTGAAACCTTTAGTTTTTTCTTATCAAACACATATAATAAAAATGTAGCAGGGTGTTATAGGTTTAAAATATTAACAATGAATATTTTGATAATAGATAGTAGAAAACACCAACTTTATCACTCCCTAATAAAATTTGCAGCATAAAAATAACACATGTTTCAATTACAGCATATCAACCTATTTTCATTTCAATGCAAAATAAGCCTATAACGCATACGTGGCTGTGAAAAATAAAAGCCATGACAATTGTTTTTATTAATCATAGCTGTCAGAATACGTTTAAAATAGTTTTGGGTAGTTAAGGTTTTCAAAATGGGTAGAGGAAAGGCTATTAGTGAGAAAATTCGGTTATTGATAATTAAATTTTTTAATTCTGGGAAATCAAACTCAGAAATTGCAACTTTGTTAGACTTATCGCGGTACAGTGTGAGAAATATTGTTAGAAGATATAACGTAACTGGTTCAGTTAATATTAAGCCACGATATGTGAAAAAAAGTAATATCACAAATGCCGACCGAAGACCATTAAGAAGAATAATCGTGAAAAACAGGCGTGCCAATTATTTATAATTAAGTGCTCTGTGGAGTGACGCTGTTGGAAGTAAAAACACACACAACTTGTTTATAGGCCAAAGAAAAGTCACTATTAACTCCACTGCAAAAGAAAAATCGGCTTAGGTGGGCTAAAGAACATAGACAATGGACACCTCAACAATGGTGTGCAATACAATGGAGTGATGAGGCCCGATTCGAAGTTTGTGTTGGTGACAGTCGCAGTAGAGTGATTCGCAAAAAAAATGAAGCATTCCATGTTGACTGTCTGAAGAGAAAACTGAAATTTCCAGCATCCATTATGGGCAGTATGTCATCAAAAGGAGTAGGAAAACTTCATTTTATTGATGAAAATGTGGATACAAACAAATATTTGGCAATTTTAGAAGAATCGCTTTTACCAGTGATGGAAGAATGTTTGACATCCGGCCAAGATTTTGTGTTTCAGCAAGATGGAGCAGCGTGCCAGACCTCAAAAAAGGCCAAATGGATGAAAAAAAAATGATGTACCACTTTTGGAATGGGTTTCTAGCAGTCCAGATCTGTCACCTATTCAAACTTTGTGGCACGAGATGAAAAAGGTTCTACGACAACATCCTGCTCGTACAATCACCGAACTGAGACAAAAGCTTCAAGAAGTATGGGATTGTTTTACACCAAATTTTTGCCAAAACTTGGTTAACACTACACTATGCCCCAAAGAATTTCAGCCGTAATAAACAATGAAGGTGGTGTTACCCAATAGTAATCTTTCAATTGTTGCTTTGTTAACTTCGCGCATTTATTCGCATATTCTTTATTTGTTCAGATGTTCTATTTGTTATAGGTCTAAGTGATTTCAAATATGTATTTTTTACGACTAGAGTGTATCTAAAATGTTTTTGAGAAAATAAATTGTTTTAGAAGTAAATAGTTTCGTCATGTTTAGTTTATAAAGGCATATTTTGGTATAAATCTTGAAGTGGGCCAACTGAAGGTGGAAGGGGCTCGTATATGCCCAATTTTAAGTCGTCACGTTTACGAATTTACGATTTATTTACATAAGACTACTATATTATTATAGATATTATATAATTACTGACCTGTGTAATTCAGTTCGATTGTTTTTTTCACCGCTAAGTATACAGAGCTTGTTTACAGAAGTCAAAAAAGACAATAATGATACTTATCCGTCATATAACAAAAAAGCAAAAATAAACATGTAAAAATGTACACAAAACCAACACAATCACAATCACAGAAATTTGAAAAAGCACAAATTCGAAGTAAATTGATTTACTAGGAATTCTGAAAGTCACTGTTGAAAAGCTCATCAAAGTTGTAGTATGCTTCGGTGACCAAAACGCATTTTATTTTCAGTTTGAAAGGAGCTTAACTTCATTTGGATTGCACCATAGAAGCGAATTCCGTGGTAATTAATACCATTTCCAGTGGCTGGTAGACGTTGTTATGGTATATCTAACTTGTGGGCATTCCACGTGTTGTAGCTATGCGTATCACTCTGCGTTATATACAAATGACGATTTCTATGGACGAACTATAAGCAAGTTAGCATCGTGTACAACGTTTGTAGGGTCAAGTCAAGATCAAGTCCTCGGTGATCCCGAACCCGACCAGCCGAACTGAACGGTTCTCTGGTAGAACACGGCCCATCGAAAATGTAAATCGGCCTGTCACTCTAAATTCCTGCATGTAGAGTGCTGTCATCAGCAAAGTAGCGGTTTGGATTGATCGTACGGAAAAGGATGTCGTTGATATGGAAAATAACAATGCCGGAAGAGAACGTCGGTCATAAATCTGCAAAGCTTCTTTGGAAGGCCATACGGTGTAAGTTTACGTAAGAATTAATATCAAGAGCAATGACATGAGCATCACCATAAGACTGGATCGGTTTACTCCACAGTTGCGTAATGTAAGCTAGGAGGTCCCCTGTGGATCGCTGGTACCGGAAACCATACTGCTTGTCGCTACTACTACTTAAACTCTGATGGCCGATCTTTATATAAAGGGTGGCGATCAGATTGTTTCTTTTTTAAATTGCTATTAAAACTACACTCTTCAATAATATGTAACACTCGATACTTTATTCAAAATAATACACCCTCCGATTATTTATGAGAAACAATTTCAGTTAAATGGCTGCCGCGGCCGGCCTGGGGGTAGGTAGTGCATTATCTTAACCCAATTCGCACATTTTCGATAGTTTCTGGGTCTATTTCATCAATAGCTCGACGGATATTTTCCTTGAAAACATTAATTGTTTGAGGATCGTTAATGTAATAGCGGTCCTTAACAGTACCCCATATAAAGTAATCCATGGGCGTCAAATCACAGCTGCGGACGTCTCCAAAAGGGCTGATATCGCGATGATCGAACTTACTACCACTAAAAGATCGATTGTTTCACTGCTGGTGTGGCATTTTGTGTCATCCTGCTGGAACCAAAGATATAGTGATATAGTGGCCACAAAAAATTCAACATGTCTCTATAGCGTTCCCCTGTTACCGCCACGCTGTTACTATCTTCATCTTGAAAAAAGTAGGGACCAATAATCCCACCACTCCAAAAGCCACACCAAACACTTACTTTTTCTGGATGCATTGGTTTTTCTATGAAGACATATGGATTTTCAGAACCCCAAATCTTACAGTTCTGCTTGTTAACGTAACCTCCCAGATGGAAATGGGCTTCGTCCGAACAGATGATTTGGCGACCAAAATTGACGTCCGTTTCCAATTGATTTAGAGCCCACAAAGAGAAACGATATCGAAGCGGGTGGTCACTTTGTTTCAACTCTTGCACAAGTTGCATCTTGTAAGGAAATAATCCCAGGTCGTTATGCAATATTCTCCGCACAGAAATGCGAATGATGCCCACTTGTGCTCTGTGCTCATACCTTCTGTTATCCACAAGCAGGCCAGTTTCATAAACCTTCTTCACGAATTTTCGTATACCAGTCGTGGATGGAGCTGCATTCCGACCAAATAGTCTTCTTAATTTTCGCAAAGTTTCTGCAACACAGCACTCACTTTGAAGATAGTTTAGAGTAAGGGACACCTTAGTGTAATCTTTGACTGTAGCTTAAAATTTGATAAATACGTGTTACCTATACGTATAAGATACTGTATACTAATAGACTCATGCTGAATTTTTAAACCCGCAAAAAGCTAGTTAAAAGTTTAATAACGACCAGCCTTAGCTATGCTTTAATTTGATATTATCCTTGTCTTGACTCGATGAATCAAGGAGTTGAGATGGATCAATAATTTGTATGTAATCTTGAGGTATTTGTACATGAGATAAAATTTACTACAACGCCTATTTATCCCCATAGTAAATTGATAACTAGAGAAATCATTAATCTTAGGGATCTGAGGCATAATAGAGTAATAACTTTGCTATGCCTTTGTACTAAGCCGCATTGTTTCAAAAATGTTTATTTTTCAATGCAGTTAGGTTGTTTGGAGAAGCAATAGTGTTTTAATATTCAGGAAGCTGGTGAAAAACCAGCTGTTAGGTCTGTTGTGATTAGCTTTTCTTTTTCATTAGTTCATTCAGTTGAATATGAACTTTTCATTTTGTACTGTAGATACATATTTCCTCACACAATAGGGTTGGGTACACGACTAGCCATCTAGCTAAGCTTCGCCTTATACACACTTATTATTATTTTTATTATAATGTTTGTTCATTGTTGCAGAATCTGAACCGACCTTAAAGGTACGACACACCTCGAAATGGACATCAATGACTTGGAGTCAAAAGCTCATCTGCCGGAAGTTGAGAAGATCAAGGTATACAAATCGCGATGGGTAGTCTTGGGCATCTTCGTCATGTATTCGGCTTGCAACGCTGTGCAATGGATCCAGTTCTCGATCATCACCAATGTCATTGTCGACTATTACCACACCACCAATACCTGGGTGGATTGGACTTCCATGATCTACATGGTGTTGTATATACCGTTTATTTTCCCTGCCAGTTATTTGTTGGAGAAGCTGGTGAGTACGATTTCCTTATTTAGTGATACCTCGTCTACCATGTCCATTTTAAAAGCTTCTAGTTGTACGGTCGGTTGTCATGGTAAGTTCTGCTCCAAAATTGAAACAGTTGATCACTCGTCTCATTGAAAGCTTTCTTCAATCAAAGCTGACTAGTGGGTGATACTCAGATATACTCCTAAAGAATGCTGCAAGTAAACCCTGAAAAATCGACTTTTTGAGTATGTTACCTATGTGAGAATTTTTGTCTCAATAATCCGAAGAGCGCTCTCATGATTTAAGTTGTTATACTGGAATAAGAACAATCTTTTTCATGAATTATAAAAACATTTTTCGACAGTGGATAATCAATCTGCTTACTGCATCTATTTTTCCATTTGTATAATGGAAGCTAGTGTGAGATAATGAGTCAGAAGTTCATGGACTATATCGCAGAGATATAGACAAATGGTGCATGAACATTCATTTGCAAAAAGATGGAGAAAAATGCAGGAACAATCTTGCTCATGTTAATAATGTTTACATACTGATAGTGATATAAATTCAAGCATATTTACTACACTACAGAGTGAGTAAAAAAATCGTTTAAGTACTGGGTGGAGCACTTTTAAAATGAGAATTTTGACAAAATATTTATACTTTGATAACAAAGATTATTTTCATTTTTTTCCATGATTGACGTATAAGTTTTCTGGTGATGTAAAATAACTTTTATTCTGCGAGTATTTTTCTGTTGTAGGGTAAATTTAATAATTTGTATCATTTGGCATATGACATGAAATGTCTACCAAAATATACTAAGTAAGTGACATATAAATCCGAACACCCAGTTTAAATGGTTTTAATTTAATAAAATTTTGTATAAGTACTTAATGAAGCATAATAAGTAAATGATAAAGATTTCAAAATGATTGCACTGCTTTAAATCCCTTTGACCTTTAATAATGTGTGGATGCACCCTGATGTGCTACGCATTCTCCAACGCGCCTAGGCATGCTTCTGATCAGGTGGTCAATGTCCTCCTGTGGTATCTCATTCCAGGCAACCACCAACTCCTCTCGAAGTGCTTCTAGAGTCTGAGGAGGACGTTGCAAATTGAGCAATCTCCTACCCATCACATCCCACACGTGCTCAATTGGGGATAAGTCGGGAGATCTTGATGGCCATGGTAACAATGTGACATCATTATGTTGAAAGAAGTTTATTGTGTCTCTTGCAACATGTGGTCGGGCATTATCTTGTTGGAAAGTTGGATCTGCCAGGGTGTCAAGATAGGGTAAAAGATGGGGTTCTAGAACTTCGTGGATATAACGCTGCGCGTTCATGTTACCTCTGATGAAGATTGAAGGTGACCTGGAACCATAAGCAATAGCACCCCAAACCATAACTCCAACAGTGTGATGAACATGTCTTTCAACAAAAAATTGAGGATTGCTCCTTTCACCACGTCGCCTTCTAACCCTGGCCCGACCATCGTGCATGCCTAAACAAAATCGAGACTCGTCACTAAAGACAATACTGTTCCATTCCAGATCCCAGAGTGACCGTTGTCTGCACCACTCAAGGCGATTACGTCGGTGTTCTCGAGTTAAAGGGAGGACCCAGTGTGGCCGGTGTGAAAACAAGCCAAAACTTCTCATTCGTCGGTAAACACTTCGCATGCCAATTGGTCTTCCGTGTTCTGCAAACCATTCATTTGCAATGGACCTGGTAGTGGAGAAACGGTCCCTTAAGGCCAATAATCTTAGGCGGCGATCTTCACGGTCTGTTGTTCTATGGCGGTGTCCAGTGCCCCTTGCTCTTTGCGTACGGCATTTTCGAAGCCATGCCTGACAACACCTAACCACAGTGTCTACACTTCTTTGCACTCTAACTGCAATTGCCCGAAAAGAAAGTCCAGCTTCCCGAAGTCCCACTATACGGCACCTATCAAACTCACTAAGTTGACGAAATCGTACAGGTCTCCGTACTCTAGGCATCGTAAGCGATCGTAAAGGATGTCAAGGACCAAAATCCGCCAACGTTGATTCTTTACTGCGGCTGAAATATTCATTTTTAGAGCGTTAGTGAATTAAAAAAAAGCAGTATAAAAACCGGAATGTCCAACTGATAAGGCTGAACATTTTTTCACTTGTTATTTACAGTAAGATAAATACATTCACCAACTTTTATTAAAATAAAACCATTTAAACTGGGTGTTCGGATTTATATGTCACTTAGTATACATATCAAAACACTTATGCGAATACTGAGAATTGAGAATGATATCTTTAGATGATTTTTTTACCTGGCGAACCAACGTAAGAGTATTAATTTTCCTACCGGTTAAGCTGTGTAAACCTTTCTGAGACACTTTGTATTTCTACAGTTTTGTGTTCAATGCGGTTCTGATATGTACGGAAAAGTCGTAAGTTTACTGTTACGCTATGACCCTTGATAAGAGAATATTCAAGGATAAATGTATAAGTTACTATCAAATAGTGACGATTACGTTATCGTGTCCGTTTATGGAATTTTGGTAAGGAGTAAACATAACCGAAATTCAACATACGTCACCGAATAGATCAACATGCGCAATATTATTTTCTACTAACAATAAAGTTAAGCAGTTTCTTGAGGATGGAAAATTAGTAATTGCAGATAGATGTTTTGGCAATAACGTGGTATTTATACTTTATGACAGTAATTATTTTTCGTGACTCATTTTAGTGCGACTGTACGAAATTTTTCTTTTTAATAGCCCAGGGACATTAGATTTTCTCTTTGAACAATGCCAGGCATTGTTTTTGCAGACAAAGTCTAACCTTTCTGGACTATTACAACTGGAACTTTAAATTTCTCATAGAAGAACGATTAGCGTTGAATACTTTCTAGTAAACAAAAAAATTTTTTTTCTTTCAGGGCTTAAGAAAATCTGTGATAATAGGAATAACGGGTACAGCAATCGGATCCTGGATAAAAGTGGGTGCTGTACATCCTGACAGATTCCTGATTTCGTTTGCTGGACAAACGATTGTGGCTTTCTCACAAATTTTCATTTTGTCAGTACCTGCTAGACTTGCAGCGGTATGGTTTGGACCATCTCAGGTGTCGTCAGCGTGCAGTATCGGAGTCTTTGGCAATCAGGTGATATTGGGGATCAACTACTTGGCCTCTGTTTTCAAGCTACTTGACTTAGAATCAAGTCAAGTATTAGATATTAGCGATATGATATGAAGTCAAGAAGCTTTTACATCTGTTAATTTTTGTAATATAAATAGGAGTGGATTATAAATACACAACGGAAGGACTTTATTTGTCAAGTTTCAGAGAAAATAATACATAGTGAACAAAATAATTTGCTCTTCTATAACGAACAGTATACAAAGCTTTTTCGTCCTTAGCATCGTGTCAACATTGTGTGAAAGTTCCATCGACATCCGACCAATACTTTCCAATTTATAGGCAGCCCAAAGATTAGCGGATAGACCGAAAGACAGACATACCGACCGATAGACAAACCGAGAGACTGACGGAAACGAGCGTCATGGTCTTTAGAAATCACAATACTTCCTCCTCGCCAGTGGGCGTGGAAGTTAAAATGTGCTTTAATTGTAAAATGTGTATAAGCCTCGGACGGGATTTGGGTCTGAGGGAAACAAAGCTGTTTATTTTTCAAATAATGCCTCTCAGGGCGATGACGGATTAGCTAGAAAGAAAAATTATTAAAACGTTCTATACAGGCTGTCATATAATAAGGGGATAATCTCGTATAAAGAACTGTTATGCAATGTTCCACTACGGATATACAGGCACTAGGGGCGCCACTGGGAATTTATTTTGCTTAAATAGGCTTTGGATAACACACTAATTCAATCAATGGAACATAATGGAAAACAATACATGTGTTCAGTTACCAGCAATCAGTTAGTTTTCACATACTGTGTAATAGTGGCTCAAAAAGAACATTTTTAAAAGTCTAATCCTAAGCAATATCTATAGGAGCGACTTTTTAATGCTGTTGATGGGCTTTTTTAAAGTGCAAATATAAATTATTCTTGTCGGATGCACATTTACAATGCATCCGATCGTGAACAGGTCCGAATATTGCTGAAAATGATTCACTAGTCTCGTTTTCTTGGATCACCAATTAAGAAGTTCTCATCAAAGTTACTAAACTATTAACCTAGATATGCCTAGGGTACAATTTTGGTACAACGTAAACAAGTCGCGACTTGCAACGATCTGTGCTTATTTTGACGCGGTAATAGCATATATGTATATAAGCCTTAGTAAATCGTAACGTGCGGCTGGGTGTTATCGTTGTATTGAGATTTTTTTGCGATTTTGTGAAGAAGTTTTTATTTTTTGTGACATGGCTGAATATAGAATACGATTTGCCAAGTAAGTAAATATATGGTCTTTACGTAAATATAAAAAATGTTTTGATTGCTTCTACCGATAAAACACACCTGCTTTTTTCCAGTTATAATGCCAAATTGCTTATGTTATTATTTCGGATTCAAAATTGCGTCATTATATTTGAGTGTGCAAAATATTGTACGTCAGGAAAATACATGCATGTTTCATTTTAGGGGCTTTTCTCTGGAGGAAGCCCTTGCTATGCTGGAGGATAATGAAGATGTATTAGCAAATGTGGATAATATCACATTGATGCCTCCAATCAATGCTTGTGACATTCTCACCGGCGATGAGAATGTAATGTCAGCTGATAATCTACCGGGTTCACAATTACAAGCAGCTGCTGAGATAATATTCGATTGTCTGAATTGGCTAAAAAAGTAAAACATAAAAAGCTAAAGAAATGAAAAACGTACAAATGGGTCAAGGAGGATCTACCACAAGAAGTTCCAGGAAACTCCGAACAATTTCTTGAACAAAATAATTCTTCTAAGACTCCACTTGAATGGTTTTCACTTTTTTTTGACGGCGAACTTATAACACGCATAACAACTGAAACAAATAGATATGCCAGGGAAAAGAATCGCCAACAAGAGGTGCAAGAGTATGAAATAAGGGCATTTATTGGAACACTAATATTGAGTGGTTATGTCGATGTACCACGTAGAAGAATGTTCTGGGAACGTGAAAGAGATGCTAATAACACGGATCAACAGCCAAAAAATATCCTAAATAAAATCAACAAAATATTACTATTTTTAATGTGCTAAAACCGGAATGAAACTTATTTTTTCAATATTAGTTCAAGTTTTAGAGATACGGTAATTATATGTGTTCCTGCTGTGACAGTGTTAATAGATATACTGTAATTCACAACAATGCACGTGCAACATTTTTATATTCGGCAAGGAAAGATGATGTAATCGGCATGATTGTGTTACGTTATACATACGTGTACATTATATTGTTTTATATTAGCCATTTTTTCCTCAGTTGGCTGACAGCGTTCATGCAAGATGTCTCGAAAGTGTGTAAACAATCCAGATCAGTTTTGTTACGTGTGTGGTGATGTGACTTTTGCGTCTCAGAGACGGTCTATTACTCCACTAATAACAAAGGCATATCAGCTTTATTTCGGTTGTAAACTAGGTGATCAAGACAAACAGTGGGCACCCCACATCTTCTGTAATACATGTGCTTCAAGTCTGAGGAGCTGGTTAAATGGCAAAAAACGGTCTATGCGCTTTGCTGTCCCAATGGTTTGGAGAGAGCCTACAAATCATATTAATGATTGTTACTTTTGCATGGTACCTTGTGTTGGACAAGCCACAGGTATGTCCAAGAAAAAAAAAATCGGTTATTAACTACCCAAACATACCATCTGCGATGAGAACTGTGCCTCACAGTGACGAAAATCCTATTCCAAAACCCCCAGAATCCTACACTTGCGAATCAGAAAACGAATCAGATCATGGTGATCGAGTGATTCGTCAGGAAGAAGATATGCCATCAACGTCAAGGGATCCTGATTTTATACCGAGCACGTCATGCCACCAACCGCACAAAATAACACAGTCAGAATTAAATGATCTTGTAAGAGATTTAGAACTTCCAAAATGTAAGGCAGAGTTACTTGGATCAAGACTGCAGCAGTGGAACTTGTTAGAAGACGATGTTTCGGTATGTGTTTTTCGTAAACGCCACAAAGACTTAGAACCATTTTTCAATATGGAGAATAACTTGGTTTTCTGCAGTAACATTAACGGCTTACTGGCGGCTTTAAATATAAACTATAACCCAGAAGAATGGAGATGGTTTATAGACAGTTCAACATTGAGTTTAAAGGCAGTGTTATTGCATATTGGAAATATTTTACCATCTCTTCCTGTAGGGTATGCAGTTCACATGAAAGAATCATATGACAATATGAAGTACCTATTGACATGCATAAAATACGATGAGCACCAATGGCATATTTGTGGCGATTTGAAAGTTGGGCTGCAGCTAGGCTAGACAAAGTTTTGCTGTTTTTTGTGTGAATGGGACAGTCGGGCAAAGGCACTTCATTACACCAGACAAAACTGGCCTGTTCGTCAATTCCTAGAGCCAGGTCAAGAAAATGTACAGCATATGCCATTAGTAGATTCGAAAAAAAAATTATTACCACCACTGCATATCAAGTTGGGCCTAATGAAAAACTTTGCCAAGGCATTAGATAGAGATGGGTCAGCTTTTCAATACCTGCGTCAGAAATTTCCAAGACTAAGGGAGGCAAAGGTTAAAGAAGGTATTTTTGTTGGGCCACAGATTCGAAATATTTTGAAAGATACACAGTTTGAAAACACTTTAACAGGTATTGAAAAAACTGCTTGGAATGATTTCCGTCTGGTGGTCACTAATTTCTTGGGAAATCGAAAAGCTAACAACTATAAACCCCTTGTCAAAAATATGCTGTCATCGTATCAAAAGATGTGTCTCTTAAGATACATTTCCTACACTCACACCTGGACTTTTTTCCTGACAATTGCGGAGCCGTAAGTGATGAGCACGGCGAACGTTTTCATCAGGATATTTCAACAATGGAAAAAGGTACCAGGGAAAGTGGAATCCTTCCATGCTTGCAGACTACTGTTGGACTCTTGGTAGAGATGCTCCAGAAACGATCCATAAGAGAACAGCAAAAAGAAAGCGCATATAGTGATTCTTATAAGTATATGAATCTTGTTACTTTTTTTAATATATCCTTAAAAATAAAAAGTTTTTTTTCTAAACCGCTATTAATCTTTTTATTTCATTGTCATTTTTGGATTCAGCGTCCCAAAATTAACAAAGAAGTGCACTTTTCCCACAAGATACAATTAAAAAACTAAAATTTGTTGTCCAGTGATAATCACCTCATCACAGAAGTGCTTACACGAGATAAATTTGAGTATATTATGTCAAATTTCCATTTAGTAGATAACTAAAATTTACAGCAAGGAGATAAGTTTGCAAAAGTGAGACCTTTATTTGCTAATCTGAATAAAAAAATTATGGAACATGGAATTTTGACAGAAATGCATAGTGTAGATGAGGCAATCGTTCCTTATTTTGGGAGACACTCATGCAAAAAGTTCATTTACGGAAAACCTGTACGATACGGCTATAAATTATGGGTTGGCGCATCAAGACTAGGCTACGTTTACTGGGTTGAACCTTACCAAGGGTGGTCAACCAACATTAGTAAGAATTAAGCAGAGTTGGGTGTTGGTGCTGGTGTGGTATTAGAGTATTCTGATGCATTGACGAGAAAATGGCCAAATGAAAAATTTCATTTAGTTTTCGACAATGTTTTCACTTCTCTCCCTCTTATGGTAATATTGACAGAAAGAAATTTTTTTGCGACTGGTACTGCTAGAGAAAATCGTTTACAAGGCGTCCAATTCAGAGGTTCTAAAATTATGAAAATGGAAAAAAGAGGTAGTTACGATTGCAACAAAATATCCAATACAAACATAATTGCAGTAAAATGGCATGAAAATAATTTACTAACACTCTGTTCAAATGCAACCAATTCGCTTTGTAAAGCGATACTCTCAAAAGGAAAATCTATTTTTTCAAAAATGCTTTTGATTTTAGGTAGAACAGCCGCATCTTGTAAATGTATACAACGCAAATATGGGCGGCGTTGATCGTTGTGATCAAAATATTGGTCTGTATCGCATTTCCATTCGGGGTAAAAAGTG